AGAGAGAGAGAGAGAGAGAGAGAGAGAGAGAGAGAGAGAGAGAGAGAGAGAGAGAGAGAAGGAGAAGGAGAAGGAGAAGGAGAAGGAGTTTCACGTTCAACGCGAGAGATCGACAATAGCCACGTAGTACTAAGCACTTTTAGCATTTAAATGACCTCATTAAGACTAGACGCTTGATCACCGTTCTCCGGAAGCAAAAACACAATTTCATTCTCTTACTTTCTAAGGGAACTCAAGGTGATTCACCTTGTCTTTTGACAGCTCTCTTGATACATGACTAGAAATCAAGAAGACATTTAGTGGTGATCCAGCATCTCAACACCTCGGCGATTCGTCACCGAGATGCTCGACATTGTTGTGGAGCAAAATAAAGAGACGATTGTAAAGTGACTTACTTCGTTCAATGGATCGAGGTCCTTCAGTGTCTTATCCGCTTCTCTCTTGACTATGGGACTACAATTGACAATGGCAACGGCCAGGAACAACCCGCAGAGCGCACAGAAAATCCGCATCTTGAAAATCCTCTTCACTTGTTGATCTGCGTTTCAATACAGTAAGCATGAGTAAAAAAGGGGTTTCACAGGGCGACACAATTTCCGGCAGCGGACAAATTGAAAGTGAATCGTAAATGTCGAGTGAAAGGATGTTCGCGTAAGCTCAGTGCATTTCAAAACCGATACCCAGCCGGATCTTTTCGGCTCCATTCATGGCCAATAATTGGCCAGTCACGAATTGATGTAATCGAAAGAAAAAAAGAGAGAGAGATAGCTGCGAGCAAATTATGTTATGACTGATGATCTTTAAGCATCTGCTGAATTTATATAGAAGCATTGGTAAGGAGACCGAATCAGCTGACTGTTTGATCAGCTGACGTAAAATGTTCGACTGTGAATTATAAGAACGTTGGCAGACTATATTATGTATATATATTATGTAAGAGTAGAGAGTAAAATATAACGTAAAAGTATCAATGTGTTTGAACACGTATCTAATTCCGGACATTCTTTTTGTTTCTTATCTTTAAATACAAATATTTAAACTTTCAACATATAAAATATATATAGTATTAAATATATGCATATATTCTACGTTAAAAGCTTAAATATTTGTATTTAAAAACCAAAAACAGTATCCACACACATGGCCAAGATTAGATATATATAGGAATTGGTACTTTTACGAAAAAAGAAAGAGAACAAGAAGGAAGAAAACAGAAGACAGGGAATTCACTTGACGGCTATCAATTCGTTGAAGACTAAACGGAAAAACGTCGATGATCAACTCTTTCCTCTCGACGTGCTGACGGAAATTCCGAGCGAAACGAAGCAAAGATTTTCGCGGACGTTGGTCGAAACCAACTTGTGTTAGATAGAATGCGTGGACTTACGAATACCGGTGCGGCGAGTGCGTGGGTACGTGCGTACGTGTATACGTGCGTGCGTGCGTGCGTGCGTGCGTGCGTGCGTGCGTGCGTGCGTGCGTGCGAGCGAGCGAGCGAGCGAGCGGAGGAGTGTGTGAACAGTTGTGTACCTGGCGAAGTACGAGGCTCGTTTGAGGACCACGGTGAAGGAGGTCCCGATATCTTACGGAGCCGAAGGGGAACGCGAAGGCGAGCATGTGTGCCCCTTCGAGAATCGAGAATCGAACAGCGCGAGTACCACGCGACAGCCTCGCCTCCTGCAGGTGGGGCGTCCTCCGGCTCACTCTATTCGCGAGACCCGCTCCTCGGCCTCCGCGGTATCATCCGAAGCTGATATATCCTCCCACGAGCACAAAGAAGGCACCCTTCTTCCTCGCTATTCTAACCATCCCTAGCGCTTCAATGCGAGGAATATTAAACCGCACGATTGGCAGAAGGGTTTAATAATTAAAACGCAATTCAAAATTTACACTGAGAGAAATTGATAAAAAATTAACAATTATATAAAAAAAAACATAAAAAAACAAGGTATTTCCAATCAAATTACCAATGATCAGGAAACATTCGAAAATCGGTTCAAAATTTTTTGACCGGTTTATCTGATGAAATGTCCTAATCAGAAATATAATCAGAATAATGTCATTATCAGAAGTATTTGATTAAATTTAATCGGATATCCTAATCGGATATAAAAATTCATCGGTATTTTGATTGGAAATATTCGTTTGTTAATTTTTTATCAGATAATTTTTCTCACCGAAAAAACGGATTATCGAAGCTGCAGGTGTGATCGTGAATATAAAGGTTGACACGTTTCTTTTTCTTTTAATTCTTTTTTAAGACAAGCTTTTTATCCTTAGACAGGTTTTAGAATACTGATTAAATATCCAATGAAAACACTATTCAGTTAGACACGTGTATGAAAATTTGGCAACAACTTTTTTTGCTCGTTAATATGTAAAACGTTGTATCCCTTATGAGAAATATTAATGCCTCATATAGCATTGATATTTGAATCAGAATTTTATATCAGAATGACGCAATACGCAGTAAAAAATAATGTAAAAATATATTAAAAGATGTGGGAACCAAATTGCTGAAGTTGGTGTGAATAAAATATTTTAATAGAATATCAGTCAGTATAATAAAGGCCATAACATGATCATTCTTAGTCGCAATTATCGTTAATGTATCTCGTTCTTAGAGGTAAAGTTTACATTTCAAGAATTTGTACCTACATTTATTATAATATAATTTATTATAAAATATTTATAATTTATAATTTATTATTTATTATAATATATTATAATATATTATATTATATAATTTTTATATATTATATATTATATATTATATAATATATTATAATATATTATAATAAATAATTTATTATAAAATATTTATAATTTATAATTATAATATAATTATATAATATTATATTATAATTATAATTTATTATTATTATAATTTATTATTATAAAATTATAAAATTATAATTTATTATTATAAAATATGACAAATATTAATTATTTATCATAAAATATGACAAAATTTTGTATTTTAACTATCCATTCCGATATATTTACGATAATTGTAATTAAGGATGAGAGAGAGAGAGAGAGAGAAAGAGAGAAAGAAAAAGAGAGAGAAAGAGAGAGAGAGAGAGAGAGAGAGAGAGAGATCGACGGACGACGAAACTTCGTTCTTCCCCGTCCGCGGATCGCGGTGGATAATTCAAACTGAAGGTAAACGTCAAGAGCACTCGCTTTATCTCCGTCGATCTCCTCTCCCTGACGAGTGGTCTTCCCCGTCACCCACATAGCTCGCTCTCTTCACGGAGAGCGAGCTTCCACGACGGCGAAGATTCGAGAATAAACCGAAACGACTTCGGCCTTCCGCGGGATGCTTTTAGTCGATGAGTTCGCTTCCCTACATTCCCGTTTCGTTTTCGTCTCGTACCGTACCGCCGTACTGTCCTGGCCTAACCCAGCTTTCTCATCCATATGTAACAGTCGCCTGGTATTAATGACAAGGGGGAGAGAGAACGAGTAGGACACGGTGGGTTCTTTATCCTACGAGGGACTGTCTCACTCCCACCCCCGCGGGACTCCAGACTACAGATTTCCCTCGCACTTACATGCTATTGCAATTTTATCGTTGTCCTTTCATTATCTGATAAATGTAATGGAATTGTTTATTCGCCGTTTGCTCGCCCGTAACGCGACCTTCCGCGAGAATCGTCGTACGACGCGGTCTCGCTTTGTATTATATATATATATATATATATATATATATATATATATATATATATATATATATATATAAACGCTAGATGGAACGTATCGTCTCAAGTATAGAGAATGCAACCTGTAAAAGCCTATGTTGTTTGATTGTTTGGTGCGAACACCAAATTAAATTATTTAGAGGAGGATCTCGTTGTTTGAGATAAGTAGTGACGCACGCGCCGAATTATTGTACGGTCATTTGCAGACAAACGTGCGGTGAATCTAATTCAAACTATTTTGTCTATCTAAATTCCCAATTAACTGTCTTAATTCCTAAGATAGTGTTAGATTTCTCTTATATCCCATTTTCAAATCAACTAACTATCGACTGATTTTATTAACGATTCCAGTTTATGTTACGAAAAATACTCTGCCTTAGCTAAAGTCGAGAAACGCGGAAAGGAAAACGTACCGTGTTCCTTTAATATTGCGCTTATCTAATTTGTGAATACGAATTCTATATTGGATCGATCGCGAGTACGCGCTATGTCGAAAAATCGACGAGAAAGAATGATGCCCGGTAACGAATAAACAAACAATGATACAAAAGCGTGACTAAGAGCAGACGCCGAATCATGTTCGGCCCTACCCGCCAAAAAATTGCCAACATCCGCCGGCTGATTATTTTTCGTGGAAGCCGACGTGTCTTCCTAGATCGTAGACCGATTTTACGGCTGAATGCAACGTCGATCGACATTTATGACCGCCGACGAAGGACTACAATTTCCTTTTTGGAAATTAATGAAGTCGATGTGGCATCTTGAACGAAAAAATGTTTTGGAAATAGTCCACGTTTTATTCGCCTGCTTGTTACGAGCAGATAGTGGCGAGCAATGTCAAAGTCCAAAGACTTTTCTCTTCAGGAAGTTAGGTTCATATCGGTGTTAGTCGATTGTAAACCGCGAGCTTAGTATGAAATGCGCCAAAGATACGAGATTTCCGAGAATTTATTACACCGAGAATTGGAACGACACTTCTAAAGATGTCAATACCTTCGATAATACAAAACCACCCAGCCGACTCATTCATTGTTCCAAGCCCTAAAAAGCCGCGATACCTCGAGATTCTTTCACTCGCGACTTTCCTGGTTTCCTCGTCGCAGCGGAGGGCCCCGAAGGAATTCCGAAGAAAAACGCGCGTATGAATGCGATCGGTGCTCTTTGTAAGGGCTCATGCACATATGTCAGAATTAGTGACAATGAACGGCGCGCGACTCGAAAACGGAAGACAAACGAAGCGAAGAGAAAGGAAGACGACGCCTCGGTCACCCAGCCGCACTCTGTCGAGCGTGCGTAAGTGTCTGATAAACGGCCAGCAATCGGTTAGCCTTTTTAAACGGGCCGCGATGACGGATTCTCACCTGCAGGCCGGTGGCACTTGAGCTGACCGGGGACAATGGGATGAAAGGAGTAGGAAGAAGATCGGGAGGGATATTCGTACAGACATGCGAGCGTTGTTCGCCTCAATGGCCTCCGTCCGTCAAACATCAGTTACGCTATTTCGTCGGCCGGTTTCTCCTTAAACCAGTGTCGTTCGCGATATCATGTGATTTTTTTCTCTCTTTCTCTCTTCGCCCCACCTCCTCTCAACTGAGAAACGGAAAAGTTTTCCTGTCAATCCAGGATCTCGAGTGAAATTCACGCCAAAGCGTATATCATATGACTTAACCAAAAAAAATTCACACCTAACTCTAAATTCAAATCTGAGTATCTCATGAGATACTTATGTCAAAATGATACTCATGCTAAAATTCAAACGATAACTATTAATACACGGTGCTAAATGACGTCGAGATTTTGACGGTAACATTTTAATCATAAATTAGAGAACAATACAATTTAAGTAGTCGCAAAAAATAAAAAAA